TTTCTCCATCATCATGATCCTCGCTAGTGCCTATGCAAGCGGATCTCTCGCCGGCACCCTTGAGATCATTGATATTGATGGTCAATGCGCGATATGGTCCTATGACAACCATGGCTGCACGGGATCTTCGGAATTCTTTAGCAAACTTGACGGAGATGACTGTGCAAGTAAGCAAATGCCGGAGATGGAAATCAGAAAAAGGTACTAACAAAGTTGTAGATTTGCGCGTCAAGACCGGCACCCCTCAAGGTTACCCTGTGAGTGGCGTGGGGGCTTGTGGCACGGAAAAAAATTCGTCAGTTGCATGGATTGAGGTGGAACATACTGGCCTGGTCAGCTTCTTCAATTACCAAGGCGACAAGTCAGCATGTACATTGGACAACGGACTCAAGCATGGCAGCCGATGTATTGCTACTGACACGATATCCTCCACCAAGGCGTCCTCCGCTTTGACGACACCGAGTTCTTCGTCATCAATCTCGGAGTCATCGTCGACTACCTCCCAGACCGCACCTTCTTCTGATTGTTTCGCGGATTGAGGAAACGTGAAGAACAAGTGGCAAAGTGACATCACTCTCGGGATGTACCAAGCATACCCTTCACTACTTTGTAGGTGCATGGTATTTTTGGCTTCCTGTTACTTATGTTTTCAGTGTCTGATGTAATTTCCTTGAACATTATATGTACTGAGGGTAAATTAGACGGAGATGTGGACAGCAATGCATTGAGTTAAACTGGATGGGTGTTCTGATAGATTTATGCTGATTCATAGGTTGTGATTCGATTCTGCATTTTGTTCTTTAGGTTTAGTTGGGAGAGTAGTAATAGCTTGTACTTTAGCTATGCTTTGCTTTCCAATTTGGGCGCTTCTCTTGAAGATTTCCATCGATATGATAGTATTCGAGACCTTGTCCCAATCCGACGAAAAGCAAATAAGGGACTTCCCATTTTCGGAAATTTGGGCCATGGTGATTGAATATGCCCTTTGATGTTGCAGGTTAGTTTGTGCGTTATATTGTCGTCCCAGGGATTGAACATACATATAATATGACGCTTCTTGAGTTTTCCGACGGTCTTCGAGCTCGACGACAAACAGCTCGCCAATCACGGGAGCACGGGTAATGCAAATACCAATGACAGGCTCAAGAGGTATCTTGTTACCTTGAGAATCTGCCAGAATCAGTTCCGAATTCGCATGGTTTGCTTGGAGCGACTGCCTGCTTGTCCTAGCGCATTGTTTAGTCTCTCAATTTTCTTTCTTATCACTTGGACCGAGGAATCACATACAACAGATCGCCCTGTTGGGAGTAAGAAGCTATGTCGATGGAGAAACCGTGCTTGAGATTTGCGAGTTGGGGTTGGGTTGTATGCAACTCCCTGCAGTGGTATTCGACCTCTAGCACCCGCACGTAAAGTGGGTTTACGAGTGCAGCCTTGCTACTAACATCGACGGGCGTGGCGTAAGTTCTTGCTACGGTATTTTTCCGGAAGCCAACATATCCCGGACGACCGCTACGGAACGTGCTATGACTCGTGGATTGCTGATTCCGCAGTGCAAATATTTTTATCGGCAGAGACTCTCGCAAGGCGGTCTTTGGGCCGATGGCTCGGTTTTGGGGCCCTAACAAGGAGTCATCAGCAAGCTGGTAACGATTTCTCAGTTCTGGACCGTACTCAAGATCTCTTGAGAGTTGTTAGATTGAGGGTCCCCAATTGCGAATAATCGGTCGACTATTGTGAAACAATTTGTTGTATAAAGCTCCCCGCTAATTTTGTCGAGTATTCTCGCAAGGTCCTGGTGGTCGTAGTTTCTCATAACGCATGCTAGGGCTTCGGATTTCTCTGGACATACATTAGTATTAGTGTTAAAAAGAGTGCACGACGTAAGACTGACCGGATTCTTGCATACCTGAGGCACCTTTGAAGCCCCATTCAACAGTAGTGGGCCACCACTCAGGTTCCTCTTCCAGTCTCGATTTCACAGTGGCCAAAACCCCGTCATTAATAAAATCCCAATCAACGGCGGTTGGCCACCAATGTGGTTTGTTTTCCAATCCCAATTTCGCAGTCGCCAGAAAGTGGTTGTAGAGCACTTCTCTATCGTTAGGGCAGAGTGCTTGGAACCCCCAATAGTATTGATCGGCGTAAGTTGGAACTGAAAGGTCGACCTTTGCGTCCATTGTGTTATTCATGGATGGGTAAAGTTTGAAGGTCCAAATAGTAGAAGGGTAAGGAATTTTTTTAGACTCAAGAGCAACAGATCAATCGTAGGGAAAGTCACCACCCTGACCTAGCTGCTGAGCTAGCTTGGAGGGCATGAAAGCTGGACCATTCCTATTCGGAGAGCCGCTAGGGGCCTTAATCCCTGTTTGGGTTTCGCAGGCATAAGCAACCTATAATCAAATTGAAGGCTTCCGACTGCAATGCGGTGAATCCAATTTTTCTTAGTTTGGTTTATCGCACACTTGGCTTGGCTGCTAGTTATGGAGTAGTTTACCGAATTGAGAATTTTCCCCCTGCGTCCTTCAACTCCTTCCTTACGAGGACTCCGTGTCCATGTATCATGGAGCCGATATTTTCATGAATTTTGGACAAATAAGTCACAAGAATTTTCATCTCAAGGCCTCCGGCCAAGACTGACTACGTTGTCTGAATCGCGCCCAAATGTCGCCTGTTCACATTCCTCGTATTTATATTGAGAACTAACACTTTGGCGGGGGCCTCACAAAAAGCGTGGCAGCTCCTAGGATCAGTTCGGCCGATTCCAACATAAATTACAATAACTGTCGTAGATGGGAACAGGAGTCGCAGCTTCGGAACTAGGTTGCGAGCAGGTCTCGCCAACCCATGGGTGTTGGAAGCCATGGAAGGGTGGCGCCATCCTGGCCGATAGGCTGTAGCCCTCCTGGGCATAGCCAGGAAGTGTTGGTGTTCTGTGCGTACGTCTAGCCCGTAATCTCGAAATTGTCTTAACCAATACACGTCCGGCAATTGTCTACTAGCCCCACCGCCAAGGCCTTAGCGCGACTCACTCGCGTCGCATCCAATGGAGTAGCTCTTACGGGGCCAAAGAACAACGTCAAGCGTGTGTTGGTCAAGGCGACTACGAGATTGCGGGCTAGACGCCGTAATATAAGTAGTACGTACGCTCCTTTGTATATCCTAACAAAATTTCCTGCATATCATCTATCAACTGAAAGAACTGATGTTCATATCGGCTTAGCGCATGCAAACATCCCTCAAAACTGCTACACCGTATACTCTCTGCAAGCCTGGCCACGATTGCCCCACCGCATCCAAACATGAAGCCAAAGGCATGGGTATACAGATTCCCAATACCCCAACGATATCGTAACGTCATCGGGTCTATCTTCGAGTTGGTTATGACGGAGAGCGAGTATTACGAACTAGCCGACCCCTTGTTGAGTGGACTCACCGCCCCGGAAATCTCTTTGATAGCGCACCTGCTCGGAGTCACAGAACAATTCCTCTACGCCAGCAGATATCTGAATCCGCTCAGGGAGCAGGACCCTTTCATGGTCTACTTTGAGCCACTAATCAAGAAGGGACTGCAAGTCTTAATTCTTGGTAACGATATTCTGGATTTAATGGAGAGAATCCAGCGTCCGGCAACGTACTGGGGCAGTCGAATTG